ACATTAACTGGTATATGGCCGTTTAAGTTTCTAATATCTTTAGTTTTGCTACCTCTTCTAAATGCAAAATGTACTTCTTCCTTCTTGAAACGTCGTACAAGTCAGATACAAAACAAAGGTAACAAAAAACAGGCCGGAAACAACCTGCCGTATAGTTTGTCTGCACTTGTAGTCAGGTCAAGGTCCTCGGCTATCGCCTCGGACCCTGACCTGACTACTCGTGCAGAAAAACTATCCGGCAACGGTTGTTACCGGCATGTTTCTTTGTTACCTTTGTATTGTATCTAATACATAACTTAATCCAATCAAATTGCATAAGATTCAATAACAATGTCCAGTCCACATCATAATGAGTAATAGGGGTAAACTGGGTAGGGAGAAAATGACAGATATTTCAAGTTGATATTTATGCAATAACGAATTAAAATTTGTCAACCAAAAGTTTTGCTACAATTTCAAAAAAATGTCGTTCTGTATGGGTATAGTTTTCGGATCTTTCATTAACGTATTTAAGGCTATAAAAAGTTTGGGCTTCAAAAGTTCACACAATTATTGACTTTATACAGAAAATTCGTCCTTGTAAAACATTTAAAAGTTCACAAATGATACACGATTTTAAAGTAAAATTATTTCTTAAAACACTGCAAAAAATTTCATTCATATTGATAAAGTGGTATCGTCATAAAGTGCGTTGAAATGAACAGTGGTATAGCAAACATCGAGTTCCCTCACAAAATGTCACATGTATCACACACTATAGTAAGGGGAGTCAGTTAAGTTTGTCTATTTTTAGATAACAGGTAATCATTTGACACTACGTATACAACCTGTGTGACCTGTGTAGTGATTTTGATTTTACGATAAATTCATGAATGAACGATAATTTTATGAATGAGCATGAGCACCTGACCTCTTTCTTAAACACCAATTAAACATATAAAACCGTATTTAATAAGGAGATAATTCACTCAAATTTTCAGTACTAAATCAACAACTGAAATGATTCCATTTTTTTATGAAACGTCGTACGAACGGAGAACGGAATCGCAGGTATAAAAATGCACTTTTTTCCCTTGTAATGACCGCGGATCTATAATTTTTATAGATCGGTTGAAATCCCAAAACTAATTTGCATAATGGAAATTTAGGCGATAGCAATACATCGGAGTGACCTCAAGGTCATCCTCTGTAAAAATCACACTCAGATTTAAGAACCTAAAATAACACACTGAGAAATCGAAATTACACACTGAGATTTTAAAATTACACACTGAGATTTAAAAAAATGAAAAACACACACTGAAAATTTAAAATTACACACTGAAATTTTAAAAAGACACATTGAGATGAAATAAATTGAAAAACACACACTGAGAATTGTTAATTACACAATGAGATTTCAAAAATACACACTGAGATTAATATGCGAATTACTAAATAAATATTCATGAGATGAATAATTCAACAGATTAATATCTTGGTCTCCCAAACACTTGTCATTATAATGAAATGCGGTTCCTACAACCAACATTCGTAATAAATTTCAAGACTTAACAACATGTTTTGCTAACTCATATTCGTACGTTTGTTGCCTATAATTCAGATTATTACTAACAGTATATCGTGATTTTTTGCTTAAAACTGTTTAAGCATGGTTCCTTTTCAAAAGTCTTTCAACTGTTACCCTGATTTTGCAAAGTAATCTTTTATATTTTTTTTACGTATATATGCTATAATAGGCACTTGGGAAAAAAATTTACTGATGCAGATTGTTCCAATGTTTTCTTATAATTTTGATAAAGTTTTTCACCATTTGGTTATATTTTATAATGAGAGTAAGTGGGTATTTTTCTTGTTCTCTTGGTCCTTTTATAACGTAGTTTTTCTATACGTTGTATTTTTAATGTGTTTTACAAAACATTTAGCGCCAAATTGAAGGACTAACGAGTTCTGTCCCTTAGTTGTTTTCAGCTTGTAATAGATTCAGATTAAGTATGCTAATTAGATATATGCGCATAAAAAGTGCGCACAAATCTCAGTGTGTAATTTTAAATTCTCAGTGTGTAATTTCAAATTCTCAGTGTGTATTTTTCATTTTTTTTTGTAATCTCAGTGCGTTTTTATGAAATCTCAGTGTGTCTTTTTGAAATCTCATTGTGTAATTTTCAGTTCTCAGTGTGTAATTTTCAATTCTCTGTGTGTTTTTTTCATTTTTTTGTAATCTCAGTGCGTTTTTATGAAATCTCAGTGTGTAATTTTTAATTCTCAGTGTGTGTTTTTAGGTTTTTTAGTCTCAGTGTGGTTTTTTTGTAATTCTCAGTGTGTAAATTTTTCGAAAAATGGTTTAAACATAGTTTTGACGAGAACGGCTTGCCATACTTTAGGTCATATATCTCCTATATACGTTTCTACGTATTTCTACATCCCTGACTTCTTGGTGATGGCAAATAACAAAATAACTCGCGACCTCGAATTTGACATAAACGGTCATCTTAGTACCAGAATCCATGACAAACAAGACGATTTTAATTTTGAAATTATAAATTAGCCCCACCTTAGCAGCAATATACCAACCTCACCTGCATATTGGATATACATTTCCAAACTCATTCGGTATTTAAGGACTTGAAGCTGCTACGCAGAATTTATAAAACGTCACCAGTGTCTGAGCAGAAAGTTTATGAACCAGGCTTATGTCAAAGAACTTCTCGTCCTTTTTCTAAAAAGAAGTTCATCGGAAGATACCAAGACCTTGTTGATAAATATTCCGTATCAACTTCACAAATAATATATGATCTTAATTATGTGTTATAGTGTTCTTTTTATTTGTCTTTGTATATTTTTAACCTTTACTGTTTAGTCCATTTTTGGGAATATCCTTTTGGCGTTGCTCGGTATTTATACATCCCGCCATGATTGTGTTATTGGGCTATGGTAATTTTTTGTATTTTTGTCTTTCATTTTTGCTTATTTTATTTTTCTATAGAGTGTCTATATGCCTTTTTGTTTTTCTTTGTTGATAAAGTTGTTTATTTTTTATAGTGATTAAGATTATAACACAATGTTGATTGCTGTACCTCAATTTTTGACATTTTTTCCTATTATGTCTGTTTGTTTCGAGTTAACTGATGAGTGGCACAAGTGAAGCAGAAACTACTTACCCATCCGGGGAACCTGGAATCATCCCGTATTTATTGTAGGGTTCTTGTTGCTTAATCTTTAGTCTTCTGTGTAATGCTTTGTTATTTTGTTATTGCTGTTTTCTTTTCGTCATTTCTTCCCTCTATTTGATCTTGATGTTTTTATTGGACTTATAATTTTTTTTTTGTTATTTTGGTGATCTCATCAGTATCTGCTTTCTCTTTTTATGAGGCTTTATTAAATTGAATAACTTCTTTTGAAGACAACATGATCGTTATATGAAGTAATACTTATAAATATATATCAATTTACAGTGCTTCTAGTGTTATTGGAGAAGTTCAACGATCTGCACATGTCATGGTCACGTGATCATGTGATTTTGGTAGGTTTTTTTTTTTTTATTTTGCTTGATTCACATTAGAGTAAAAAATAGCAATGGGATACTCAAAACTCTTAAATCGAAGAGGAGTTGACAACACCATTGCAAAAATAAAACAAAAGAGACGAAAATACAAGTCAAGAGAAGCACAGGAAGGGTCAGCAGAACTTGATACACATGTGGCACTCGACATATTGCTCATGAAAAGTACAAATTCGATGACAAGTCTCAATCAAATAATAAAAATCAAGCTCGTAATGCTTTAAAATTATTATCAAAAGATGAAATAGGGAAGACGAATTTATTTTACACAGCTTTCAACGTTATATATTTTAAATCTTTATTTTTTTTTATCAGGAGATGCACAAACATGTTGATTTGGTACATACAAGATACATTATAGGTTACTAAATAAACTGTTTGATACGCATCATGAAACCAAATACTTTTAATCGGTATTTGCTACTTCTCTCTAAGCACGTGGGTTTAAGCAGTATGGACTTAGACTGGTCGACTCGGAGTCAGAATAATGGTCCGTGTAGGGTAACATGTCTTCCTGCGGAAGAACGTTAAACGTTGAACAAGCACGTTAAAAATCCGGCTCAGTGTGTCGGTCTAGTACAAAGCAGGGTTAATATTCATATTACATTAACATGTCCTCGTCCTGAATATGCCTTTAATTTACCACTGGACGGTAAGCAGCAGCAGTCATCTATCATCTTTAATGAAATGCATTGCCGATCATGGAGGTATATATCTCCTTTTACAAAATGTTTATAGTGCGTCCCATTTAATTTATATTTCCAATGAAAATGAGTTAAATAAGAAATAATAAGTTTTGAAATAACTGTAAATTCTGAACAGAATATAAAAATAATTCTCTGTAGGTTTTCGAACCATCAATCACCTTTTGCTTAATTTTTAGTTGGAAAGTGACTGCTTCGATATTATTCACGCTGGGCCTAAAAGACCCTTATTGCATCTCATCCTTTCTAGTAATCGCACTAATGTTCAGTCGACTTTTTAAAAAACCATTACTAGCAAGCTAAACGATATCCAGGCACTTTCGTCATACCAGGGATATACTATACAGTCATGTAATATACCATAATGACACATATACTAGACATTAATTATCAGTTCCAATGGTCATTGAAGATATTCATGTTCGGCAAATTTTATGAATAAGGCTACAAGATTACTGCGAATCTGATGTATCAATTATTCATTTACTGGTTGCATAACGATTGAGAATAGGATATCGCTTGATATCAACTCGAGTTATTTAATTTCAATATAATAATAAACGAGCCTTTGGTGAGTTTATTATTTCTCTTTAAATTAATTAACGAGAGATGATCTTATGGTATACAGGCTCTTTGTGTTTACTATAAAAGCTCGACACTTGTTTGTCTAGCCTTTACACATATTAGTATGACGTCATATATGTCATGATCTGGACTCAAACTTTAACATCAGACGTTTTGACACTTTTATTCGCTTCAGAGTGTTCAAAATTGACAAAAATAAGAAGTTCTGGTGAAAAGTGAGATTTTTGTAGATTTTTTAAAGAATTACATATCTCCGTTGTCATGAAGGAAATGTACATTGTTTTGACTTTTGCAAGTCATCAATGACATGACGAATAGCAAATGGAAATGTCGCAAAATCATTTAATGATGCTGGATAAGCCAATTGAATTAACGCATTTTTCGTTTCACACTCTGTGCAGTGTGGCACGAGAAATGTCTCTTCATGCGAGAAATAGAAAACACACCTCAAACATAAGAGAATATAATTTATTGTTTATAAAGTCAATAATCGAAGCCGTCTCCCAATTCTGTGAAAATTGCGATTATTGGCGGTCATTTTTTCTTCTTCTCTCTTTTGTACATAAATTCTAAGTACGGTTAGCCCATTTGTGTTTTATTCATAAAGTAATTCGTTACACCTTTGGTATGCCTCATTGAATGACATGAATGTAAAACACACCTCTATCTGATACAACAATAACACAAATCACCACACATATTAAATCCCTTTTGTTTTCCTGAATACGTCGTTATGGTCATTTACTATTGCCTCAATCAATTTCATGTGTCACTTTCAGTTGAAGTACCAGGAACATTGAGCATCCTAAAATGATATTAAAATAGTTAGTCAAGAACTTTAACTATTAGAATTTTAGACAAACAAAGATAACAGTAAATTGTTTGCATGTTCATATTTCATCCCTGTGACCTAGTAGTCAAAAGTATACATCTTAGTCGAGTTGCGACCAAATCGATCTCGGTTTATAATATGATGAATGTCGTCTAGACGTCTACATTTTGGTTCCAGCCAGACACTTCTGAAGCATTATATTTTTACCAATATATAAACCAAACTTGTTTTGGGACGAGAAAGACAGACCAAATTCACAGCAGCTATTGATAGACTGAACATCGGGCGAAATTTTGGTTTACGCATTAATCTTGACCTATATTCCCAACCTTCACCAAACTTGGCATCATAGGATGTAAACTATCCTAGCTTATCTTAAAGTGAATATGTTAAGGTCGAGGTCACAAGAGTTTTTGATATACTGAAATAAGAACTTATCCTGTTCGAAACCCCACTTCCACCTCCTCGTTGGTGAGCAGCGGACTTATGGCAGGGGTTCTTGTAAATAGTTTAATTTATATAAATAGATAGATAAGATTAATTTACCTATGTTAACCTGAAAAATGAATGCGCGCAAACGTAATGATTTTTGTGTGCAAATGTGATGCACCGTATGATCTATACTATATTTTTCGTATTCTACTCTAATAATATTATTATTTATAATAATGAGTTCAGAAAAAAAAAAAACGATTAATGAGATTAAGTATAAAATTGGAATCTTAATTATGTTCATCTTTTGATTATTATAGTTTTGATAAAAGAATTATGTATATAAGCTGGGAAAACAATATATTATATTTTTTTGTATTCTTCAGAGATATTCGGATTTTTAAAAATTCAAAATTCATAATAAACTATTTTGATAGAACTGTAATAAATACTCTTTCGATCCAAATAAATAGATTTATTATGATATAACCATGCTTATCTCGTACCAAGTGAATCTCTACAAACCAATCCTAACTAACTGAGCAGCTGCTGAATATTACTGTCAGCTATATTAAACTGCATTCAGCACCGCAAATATTTTTTTAATGACTTTGAGACAAAAACCCGTAATTCCATCCATGAAACAAGCATTTACCAAATATACTTCGAGAAGCTGCTTATTTCACTATACTTAATACGTCTGGAGGAAGACATGGAAACTGGGAGTTGCCACCTCTAACAAGGACAACGACAATCGCACTGCTAAGAAGTGCAGTAGTTCTACCCCTGCCCAACAAAGCTAGTTGAAGTTGGTCTACTGCACTATAATACACCGAAAAGATTACCATCGACATGACAGTTTTAGCTGACTATTTATCGAGCCCTGAGTAGAGAATTTGACGTCAGCAATGGAACAACTTCGACAATAATGGACCACGCACTAACATCTACTAAGAGAGATGGCACAGCAAACACATAAACCACGTACACCAAAAAATATCCTACTGATAGACATACTTCAGAAAACTCATGCTAACACAGAAGCCAACCATATATAGGTATCAGCTCTGGGTATCCAACGACCCATGACAAAGATATACATGTATAACAAAACATCAACAACAGACAGTCGACGTATCAAAAACGATTTCTGCAAGGAGAATATACCGTCCAAGACTACATTTACCAAGCCACCTTTCTCCTCCGCATAGAAATTGATAGTATATATAGTGTACCAAATGTATTTTATTGAACTTAACAAAAAGAGTTGAAAAAACTGTGTAGTTATATTTTGTTCGAATTATAACTGCCTTAAAGTTTAAGTGTGTTTTACATGTGATCATGTGATTTTGGTAGGTTTTTTTTTTTTTATTTTGCTTGATTCACATTAGAGTAAAAAATAGCAATGGGATACTCAAAACTCTTAAATCGAAGAGGAGTTGACAACACCATTGCAAAAATAAAACAAAAGAGACGAAAATACAAGTCAAGAGAAGCACAGGAAGGGTCAGCAGAACTTGATACACATGTGGCACTCGACATATTGCTCATGAAAAGTACAAATTCGATGACAAGTCTCAATCAAATAATAAAAATCAAGCTCGTAATGCTTTAAAATTATTATCAAAAGATGAAATAGGGAAGACGAATTTATTTTACACAGCTTTCAACGTTATATATTTTAAATCTTTATTTTTTTTTATCAGGAGATGCACAAACATGTTGATTTGGTACATACAAGATACATTATAGGTTACTAAATAAACTGTTTGATACGCATCATGAAACCAAATACTTTTAATCGGTATTTGCTACTTCTCTCTAAGCACGTGGGTTTAAGCAGTATGGACTTAGACTGGTCGACTCGGAGTCAGAATAATGGTCCGTGTAGGGTAACATGTCTTCCTGCGGAAGAACGTTAAACGTTGAACAAGCACGTTAAAAATCCGGCTCAGTGTGTCGGTCTAGTACAAAGCAGGGTTAATATTCATATTACATTAACATGTCCTCGTCCTGAATATGCCTTTAATTTACCACTGGACGGTAAGCAGCAGCAGTCATCTATCATCTTTAATGAAATGCATTGCCGATCATGGAGGTATATATCTCCTTTTACAAAATGTTTATAGTGCGTCCCATTTAATTTATATTTCCAATGAAAATGAGTTAAATAAGAAATAATAAGTTTTGAAATAACTGTAAATTCTGAACAGAATATAAAAATAATTCTCTGTAGGTTTTCGAACCATCAATCACCTTTTGCTTAATTTTTAGTTGGAAAGTGACTGCTTCGATATTATTCACGCTGGGCCTAAAAGACCCTTATTGCATCTCATCCTTTCTAGTAATCGCACTAATGTTCAGTCGACTTTTTAAAAAACCATTACTAGCAAGCTAAACGATATCCAGGCACTTTCGTCATACCAGGGATATACTATACAGTCATGTAATATACCATAATGACACATATACTAGACATTAATTATCAGTTCCAATGGTCATTGAAGATATTCATGTTCGGCAAATTTTATGAATAAGGCTACAAGATTACTGCGAATCTGATGTATCAATTATTCATTTACTGGTTGCATAACGATTGAGAATAGGATATCGCTTGATATCAACTCGAGTTATTTAATTTCAATATAATAATAAACGAGCCTTATCCTGTTCGAAACCCCACTTCCACCTCCTCGTTGGTGAGCAGCGGACTTATGGCAGGGGTTCTTGTAAATAGTTTAATTTATATAAATAGATAGATAAGATTAATTTACCTATGTTAACCTGAAAAATGAATGCGCGCAAACGTAATGATTTTTGTGTGCAAATGTGATGCACCGTATGATCTATACTATATTTTTCGTATTCTACTCTAATAATATTATTATTTATAATAATGAGTTCAGAAAAAAAAAAAACGATTAATGAGATTAAGTATAAAATTGGAATCTTAATTATGTTCATCTTTTGATTATTATAGTTTTGATAAAAGAATTATGTATATAAGCTGGGAAAACAATATATTATATTTTTTTGTATTCTTCAGAGATATTCGGATTTTTAAAAATTCAAAATTCATAATAAACTATTTTGATAGAACTGTAATAAATACTCTTTCGATCCAAATAAATAGATTTATTATGATATAACCATGCTTATCTCGTACCAAGTGAATCTCTACAAACCAATCCTAACTAACTGAGCAGCTGCTGAATATTACTGTCAGCTATATTAAACTGCATTCAGCACCGCAAATATTTTTTTAATGACTTTGAGACAAAAACCCGTAATTCCATCCATGAAACAAGCATTTACCAAATATACTTCGAGAAGCTGCTTATTTCACTATACTTAATACGTCTGGAGGAAGACATGGAAACTGGGAGTTGCCACCTCTAACAAGGACAACGACAATCACACTGCTAAGAAGTGCAGTAGTTCTACCCCTGCCCAACAAAGCTAGTTGAAGTTGGTCTACTGCACTATAATACACCGAAAAGATTACCATCGACATGACAGTTTTAGCTGACTATTTATCGAGCCCTGAGTAGAGAATTTGACGTCAGCAATGGAACAACTTCGACAATAATGGACCACGCACTAACATCTACTAAGAGAGATGGCACAGCAAACACATAAACCACGTACACCAAAAAATATCCTACTGATAGACATACTTCAGAAAACTCATGCTAACACAGAAGCCAACCATATATAGGTATCAGCTCTGGGTATCCAACGACCCATGACAAAGATATACATGTATAACAAAACATCAACAACAGACAGTCGACGTATCAAAAACGATTTCTGCAAGGAGAATATACCGTCCAAGACTAAATTTACCAAGCCACCTTTCTCCTCCGCATAGAAATTGATAGTATATATAGTGTACCAAATGTATTTTATTGAACTTAACAAAAAGAGTTGAAAAAACTGTGTAGTTATATTTTGTTCGAATTATAACTGCCTTAAAGTTTAAGTGTGTTTTACATTACTTGACTTTGAATGATTAACGTCAATAATTTGCTTTATAATACTATCACAGCGACATTATTTTTTGCATTAGGTCAAGATACAGTAAATAGGCTATGTCATAGGTTTTGGTAAAAAATTTCATACAACTATGGTTCGTTGAACTATAACTGAAAATCGAACAATTTGGCATTTATCTTTTATTTTCTAAAATATTTATGATTGAAATCTTTCAAAACAGGTGAACACTTGTATAGAAAGCACATACAATCGTTGAAAAAGTTCTTAAATTAATTTCCAATTAAAAGTGCATAGATTTTTCTTTAAAATTTATATGTTGTTGATACGTAACTTTACGCTTAAATGATGTACAATCATCAAAGGGTCACCGATTTTGTTTTGGGTGTTTTAACCAATATGTTACATAGTTTTAAAAAGTGGAGTAAAAACGTTAAAAATAGACGTTTTACGGCTAATAACACGATGACGTTACGCTTATTTCGATGTTTTGTGGTAATTTTTCACACAAAACACCACTTTGAATGGTGTGTACCGTAAAAACGAAGTTGGTGACCCTATATATTAACTATCTCATATTACAGATACATTTGATAATTTTATCAGAACTCCTAGGTTATATTTTTATTTCAGTAATACTTCGATGAAAGGGTCAACGACATAAAAATATGATCCTACTGTATATCCGCTTGTCTTTCCGTGTTCGTTTGGTCTTCTTCGTTATCCATAAAATTATCGTGTTCCTTTGGGTCGGTCTGTTCTTCTTCTTTCCCTTTACACGACACTATAAAAGTAAATATTATGGTGACCGTGTACTAGACGTGTATTGATCGATTGATATAGATCTATGAAATTTAAACACTTAAATGTTTGCTCCTGAGAAGAAATTAATGGGTTCATGTGTAGTCATTTTTCAAAATGTTTCAAAAGGTAATACAAGCAAAATTGTCTTTAATTTTAGATTAACGCGTGTTTCTTTTTTTTCAGGTTTAAATGCATTTTACTCTGTGTCCTCAATTGCGTAAATGTCGGTTTCGATGTAATCCGGTTTAAGAGATATAATGGTTAAGAAGGGGTCATTTCATATTTTTTTTTCTTAATTACTAGCCTTGTTTTAATGCAGCTCTCTTAGACAAATTGAGTGGAAAACATAACTTTTAAATAATTCATGTATTCAGTTTGTTATTTTGTTAGGAGAAACAAAATTATCTTAAGCAATATTGAATTTTAACCCTTTTAAGCGTATAATGGTATGTGCAATAAAACATCAAAATCAACAATTGACATTGCTTGGAACTGATTATCTGAGTTTTCAAATTAGCAACTCAAATGTTAAAATATAATTTGATCAAACGAAAAGAGGAAAATACTCCTTTTGAGATAATAGACGTGTGGCAAGGTAGCATTTATCGCCGTCTTCATGAGGAGTTCGATTCAATCTTCATAAATAACTTCGAAAAAAGACACTGTATCATCACAACATGCATTACTGAACTTTAACCCTTTTAAGCGTATACTAGAATGTGCAAAAAGATAGCGTTTGTTTTTTTTTCTACATTGGCTAGAGGTATAGGAGGAGGGTTGAGATCTCACAAAACATGTTTAACCCGCCGCATTTTTGCGCCTGTCCCAAGTCAGGAGCCACTGGCCTTTTTTAATCTTGTATGTTTTTTTTTAATTTTAGTTCATTTATATGTTTTGGAGTTTAGTGTGACGTCTATTTTCACTGAACTAGTACACATTGTTGTTTAGGGGCCAGCTGAAGCCCGCCTCCGGGTGCGGGATTTTCTCGCTGTGTTGAAGACACGTTGGTGGCCTTCGGCTGTTTTCTGCTCTTTGGTCGAGTTGTTGTCTCTTTGACACATTCCCCATTTCCATTCTCAAATTTATTGTTATTACTTGCTGAACTGTAAAAAGGGAATTTGCTCCTGATGCTTCACATGAGTCTAAGCAGGGTGTTGCTTTTTAAAGACTAACAAAAATAACAAAAAGTCTTGTACGATTAGATTTTTGTGAAATTAGTTATTATCATTACTAGATGCATATTGTTCCGTTCTTCCTGAATAAATTGATAGCAAGTATACAACTGCTAAAATGCAAGTTAAAACTAGAAAAGTCTTCATTGTGATTCCATCGTGGTTAAGATTGAAAGAAGACAGTGTAGTCAAAGATGATTTTCAGTAGCTCAGTCAGTGTTTCCGAGGCTATTCACTGCCAGCTGTTTGAACGCGGATTTGAAATTTCCAGAATTACACGTAGAAGGAAGTTTTGTCAATGATTTCAACCCCCCCCCCCCTTTCAAAAAAAAAATCTGACAAATCATAATGCCTCCACACATTTAATATAAAAAAAATGACACGAAAATGCATCAAAATATGATAAAACTTTCTTATATTAACACCTACCTATAGTTTTTTTAAGTTAAATTTATTCAGATTGGTCCACTTCATCTTTATTGAAAGTATGAAATAAAGTTTAATTGTGGAACTGTGATTTTTTTCACGATAAAAGCCCAAAAATGGGTAAAAATTGATGAAAAATGGGAAAATCATCAAAATTGGGTACTTTTAAAGGGCCGTAGCAAAAAAAGAAGTGCACCACAATATGATTTTTTCTTCACCAATTATTTTTTTACAGTCATAAACCCAAAAATCAGGTTAAGAAAAAAAGTTTAATTCTAGAAATTTTTGGCTCCTCAGAGGTGAACATCCTTAAGTTTTTTTTAGTTGTTTTAAAGTTCTCTGTTTCGATCTGGTGAGTCAAGCCTTTTTCAAATGATTTTGATAGTTTGTTCCTATGTTGTGCTGTTACACCACTGGCCCAAGTTAAGGAAGGATTGGGCACCCGCAAACATATTTAATGCGGCACATTCTGTATATACCTGTCCAAAGTCAGGAGCATGTAATTCAGTGGCTGCTGGTGGAGGTTTCTCCCCGAGAGTATCACCAGCCCAGTAGTCAGCACTTCTGTGTTGGCATGAACTATCATTGATATGGTCATTATTATAAATTAACTGATTTTAAAACTTTGAATTTTTCAGAATACTAAGGATTTTCTACCCCAGGAATAGATAACCTTAGCTTTATTTGACAAAACCTTTCGGAATTTCGGGTCCTCAGTGCTCTTTAATTTCGTACTTTATTTGGCCTTTTTTTTTTTTTACTTTTTTTATTCAAGCGTCACTGATGAGTCTTTTGTAGACGAAACGCGCGTATGGCGTACAACATTTTAATCTTGGTATCTATGATGAATTTATTATTGCTGTATGTCATATTTGTTTCCCGTTTTTTTTTTTGTGTGCATAAATTAGACCATTAGTTTTATTTAGAATTTATTTATATAACATATTATTAGATTATTACATGATATTTTTTCGTATTTTGTAAACATAATCTGGCATCTGGCGTAATGGGGAGATAATTCTGACGAAGTAGAATCCTGACTGGATAATGTCATCTGAACCAAGCTTTTCAATTTTTTATTTATTAGTTAAGATAGTTTATCCAGGTTGATTCTTATTGATCACTAACGCCGTTTCCTTGTTCTAACAACGGGACCATTTAACGGAAATTTTGTCAAAGAATTTAATTTGTTGATCCTCTTGAAAAACTGGAAGTCAAATTCGATGTTGGTTGAATTTACTTTTGCATAAGACAAAAGAATATAACACTTCATAAATTTCGTGTCAGAAGCGTTTTTCTTGGTTTATCTTCATCATGAACACTCAAACCCAAACATTTGAAATCCAGGGATGGATATATATTATACATGAATGTGTGAGGAGCTATAAGACCAAAAGGACCTCAACAGAATGGACCAATTCACATAAGGTCTACTTTGCTTGAGGTAGTTGGAATCTATATTTCTTGATAATTTTTTAATTTATCAACGGAGAATTTTAGAAAAGTGGGTTATAAATCATGTCAGTACTTAAGCACCGAATTTTGAGCTGATGATACCATTGGTAACTTAAATTCAAACCGCTGTGGTATCAACCCAGTGCAAGAAAATGAAGATATATTTTTTTTTCAAATTTTGTGCGTCCGAAACGCTTTTCTGAATTTGTCTTCATCTGAAATGCTGTACTCTTAACCAGCATTGCTGATCTTAATATTTGATGTATGCTGATAAATATGATCAAGTAAAAGGATTATGAAAAAAACAGAGCACTTACAACAGCAACAGCCGTTTATGAAGCTTTTTTCTCTTTCAGTACCTGTAATAAAATACATGCTATAAATGGTGGACACTAGTCTTCATTTTAACTAAATTATTTTAAATAATTCGATCACTGATAAAATCTATTCCATACATATATAAACTACCTCTATATCGGAAAAAGTACTCATTGGAACATAGTCTAAATTGCGGTTGAGAGAGAGAGAGAGATTTAATACTTTATATTTCAAGTAAATGTTAAGGTATTTTATTAGAAGCGTTGTTTATAATTCTGATGTTTTCTGTTGCTACCTTAGATAGCTTCCTGTAGCAGCGACACATTTTTACCTTTTTTACAAATTTTCTCAGGTATATCATTTTTTTTGTTCTTTAATTGATATCTGGACTGTACACGTTTATTTTTTCGAATGTTGGTGGTTGGTAAGGTATGTTGGACTGGCCAAATATTACTGCAACAGCTGCGACAAGAGCGCATGATACGCCTTTATTATGCATATTGAAATTGTTGCAAAAATGGATATTTAGGAGGCATTTAATTAGAAGCAAATAAAATGGCCCCACATGCATGAATATACCCTTAGGTATATAAATATTGTGTCAATTATGACTTTTCAAAGTTCCAAAACTCTGACATGAAAAACCAGAAAAATTTCAAAATCAAAAGAATACATTCACCAATCCCAGCAACAGTGTTGAGTTTGTAGTAATTTGATCCAAGCATACTATAGCTTATGCATGACATTAAAAAATACCTTTTTTTTTATCTGACGGTCAAAGTCCCGTAACTCTGGAGTGGCATGTCTGATTTTTATGCCCCTGCCGTAGGCAACGGGGGCATAAAGTGTAACCCTTAACCCTCCTCCCGTACTTTCAATTTTTTATTATTAAGCAAACAACCACAAATCAATTTAGATCGCCCTGAGTCTTAAAATTATGTGAACAACTTCAATATAGGCTATACAGAATCTGCCATCAACACTAAATTCCTAAAGGACAGAATAACATTAAGGTGCAACTAAAACAATCTTGTGTGATTCAATGAATTCGTACAGCAACATCACATTCGGCGGAGTGAAAATAGTATTTTTTTAGCACATAATCCATCCATTTTTTTAATTTCGATCAGCGGAAGAACAAAATGTCAAAAGTTAAACTCACAATAAAAATCATCAAATAACTGAAAAATGCCGATATAATAGACAATAAAAGGTAATTTAGAATTGATTGCTTTTTTTATAATTTTTATGGGGGTTAAAGCGTTGACCGAAGCACATTTTTTATGAATCGCGAAAGCGCTTCATTCTAAAAATGTGCGCACAATCAAAACTTTTACAACCTTATAGAATTATAAAAAGGAGCAATCAAGTCTTATAATTACATTTTTATGCTACAACCATGAAATTAATAGTTATACGAAGCTTTTCGGGTTTTTTTTTCTGTGTCTTGTTTTAACATTGTCACGGAAAACATGTGCAGTCATGTCTGTTGTATTTTACACGGAAATAAAATTTGACATTGGAGTGCCTTGCGATTGTTGCTAGCCAATCGAAATTGCGGATTCTAATGACACATGCATGTAATGTAATTATTTGCACATATAATAAACCAAAATATTACCATATCAAAGAATGCTCGCAATTCCTACACAATTTCAATTCAATACACAAGAGTCTGATTTCAAACACTGTACATTCCGAAGTTCTTTTCATGTTAATGTTTGAAAATAGAGTTACATACCTCTTTCGTCCATAAGAAGCATTCGTACTATAAAACCAAATACAAATCCAATAGGTATAAAACCAAGATTTCCTGAAAACAATATTTGTAACATAAAACATACTTTCAAATTTTAATAGATTAAGATGTCTTCAGTCGGAAAAAAGGAATACAACACAAAGACACCGTGATGAGACGTTCACAAAATATGAAACATCCATTACCTGCATTTAGTTGATTAAGATTATGTGGATAAAAATCAATGTGATACCTACCTCGGTACGCTGTGAAAACCGGTTTACACCACCACTTTCAATGAAAAATACCTTTCTTACTTTTTGTTGTACAACTACCGGTATGAAACATCAAAACAACTACATTCAGTTCTCTCAAAATTATGCTTAGGTTTTAAACGCGTTGCGAATCTTTTGTGCTTAGGAAAACGTTTAATTTCTAATCATAAAAAATGTGATATGTTTGTACACTTAACATTGCAAATTAAACGGATTTATTTGTCAAACATGTTTAGTTAAGATGTACTTACCTGAACACATGCCTTTCTGGCTGAACCCGACAGCTACTGGAATAGCAACCATTAGCACCAATAATAAACAAACGAATGCTCTTTTAATTGCTGAAAAAAGCCACACTGTTATCACGTTGCCGATATATAATATTCTATGAAGTACAGTTACCCATTATAGAGTACCGGACAACACGATTTCATACCAGCAGATAAAGTAATGGTCTTTTATCTGGTAGAGGAAAGGTGTTCTTGTTTTGTTTTTTGTTTTTGTTGATAGTACATCTTTTACAGTTTCTGTGTAATACATTTGCATCTGTTGTGGTCTAGAAATACATTAAAGCTTGGCATAGTGTCTTGACATATTGTGTAGACATCTAGTCTATTATTAAAGACTTTATTTTGACCTAACATCATTTAGTTATTTGGTTGGTTTTCTTTTTTGTTTTTGTGTCATTGAAGTAAACCACAAATTTTCTTTTGATTGTATAAAAGAGAGGAAGGATTAACTAATTGTTTGCTTAACGTGCAGTGACATGTATCTCATGCATATTCGAGAAGAGAACAGTTCAAAACAATTAGAAAAGTAAAATGTTCTGAAGAAATAGAGTTTCTTAATTTAAAAAGAAAATCTAAAACAAGATAAGGCATTTTTTTCCTTGGGAAGTTGCAACCATAGTTCTACCTGGGCATGTTCACCCTGGAGGACAGATCTCAAATGTATACTGCATGTATTTTGTCCGTTATTCATAATTAGTCAATAACTGTTCCAAATACCTTTCATAGAAAATTCTTTATTTTTCTGTAAGCACATACAGGAGTCTGTTATTCTCTCTATCATATTTCTTCTTCCTATCCAGATTTTTTTACCAAGTGTCTTTAAGCATGAATTTTCTTTAAAAGAAAGTGTGAACATTAATACACAACAAGTTGTTTCTTCATGAATATTTATTAAAATACAAATTGTACAGTAATGAATATAATTACTTTGATAACAATAAATGAAGAATGTGATTTTTTTAATTTACTGGAATGCCGAATCTTTTTTCGCACTTTGTTTTCTAAGTTTCAGTGAACTTTCTATTTTTTATAAGGAGTTACTGTCGTTGAATCGCAAGAACTTAGTCTATCAATAAACGCGCCAGTTTAATGGGGCATTCATTAGCTACGAATTCGACAAAAATTTAAATATGATAATTTTTTTTACTTATATGTTTAACCTATAGCATAAAATCAAACAGACCTAGAAAAATCCGATTGCACGAGTTCGCCATTTATTTAGAATTATATTTGCATGTATGTTCATATCGGGTTATATGACCGTCGGCAGTCTGAAATCTGTTAAAGCAAAAACAGTCGAAATCCCTTTCATAAAATATTATTCATTTAGAAGTTATGGAGTATACCTTCAATGCGAGTTTTTTGGAAATTCGACTGTTAAACTGTTTTCAAAATATCATGAAGAATAATATATAATAAATGATCGATTAGACTTGTTTTCACAGTTTATGGCAATTTGATTGCTGAAAAGTGCAAAACAATTTCTTCGTCGATAGCAAGGTTGAAATGTTGACCAATATTTGATATTAGACGCAATTTTTATCTTGAACCATAGTAAAATCATCCTTGAAAAGAAGTACTGTTTATACAACAGGGTCCCCCCCCCCCCCAAAAAAAAAAAAAAAAAAGACATAAAACAGAAATCAATACGTCCAATTAGCTTTTACATTAAGTAACATTGTCTCTGCTGAATTAAGACATTATAAAATTGCCTTGGGTCGATTTCGTCTGAATGATTTGCAACCGCTGTTAATATAGTAAAATATTATCATCTAAAAATTGGCAATAACGATAAACAGTCAAAATCAATTACAAACAAGCATTCTGTGAGTATTGCATGGCAATACATAGTCCACTACCGGTTAAAAATTCATTGTATTGGAACAAAATTCTAATTTGATCTATAACTTGTAATGGTGTAAACTATATAACAAATATCAAGTCAATATATTCAAGCATGACGAAAAAAAGTGTTGAAAACTGATTATTTAAGTAATTTTTTTAAGTCCTAGGACCATAACTCTGCACAAAATCATCAGACCGGAACAAAATTCAAACTTGTTTTGTACTTTGTCATGATAAAACTAAATACCAATTATCAAATCAATATCTTCAAGAATGACAAAAAAAAGTGCGGAAAACTGATTATTTTAGTGAATTTTCTAAGTCAAAGGACCATAACTCTGCACAAAATCATCAGACCGGAACAAAATTTGAACTTGATCGGTAACTTGTCATGATAAAACAATACACCAAATATCAAATCAATATCTTCAAGCATGAAGAAAAAAGTGTGGAAAACTGATTTGCCAGACAGACAGACAGACAGAGTGCAAACCTAAATTCCCCTTCGACTTCGTCGGTAGGTGACTAATAATATGAAATTTAAATCATACCTATACCAAACCACTGACTACAGGGACCCCAGATCATAATCATATTTTAATGATAAATGCCTAAAGGGTAGGAGTATGGGTTGTAGTTGTTTGGTGATCATTGAACTATCAGAGTTTTGAGACTTGGATGTTTTTATTGATGCGCGTTGATTGACGACGGCCTCATGCTGGTTTTATCAACCATTCAAATAATAAAGCTTTAAGTATTGGGATGTTGGGGGAAAGAGCGGGCGGTCGAGGAAAACGAGGTACCAGTTATGTTTAATCGACTCTACAGATTTCAACCAAGATTCATGAAACTTCACAGACAGACTGCACATATATGGAAGTTGTGCCCTTGCTATTATGGCAGTGTTAGAGGATTTTCCCCTTTTTCCAGACGTGGGATCTTAGTTATTTTTCAACCAAATATTCCAAAGACTTTGTTCAAACATATTTCCTTAATTTTAATTAAGATACTTGAAATGTCATAGACATATTGTTTACATATTGAAATTGTGCATTTGTAATTACACAAGGAGTTTCTTCTATTTTGTCAGTTAGGTATGGAACTTTTTTCAATATGGCAATTTTAAGGAATCAACAACTACTGTAGTTTTTAACCCATATTCTTGAATTTCACCCCAGAAAATGCACACCTATTGAAGTTGTGCACTTTCAATTGCGTAGTTTTTTTTCCATTATTTTGTTTCTGTTTTCTTGCATCATATATTTAAATGTTAATTTTATACCACCCTCTATTCTCCATTGTTTAAGAAACATTATTTGCAACCTGGCCACTTATATAGTTCATAAGTGTTTCTCGTTTCTCATTTTTTATATAGATTAGACCGGCCGTTGGTTTTCCCGTTTGAATGGTTTTACACTTGTAATTTTAGGGGCCCTTTATAGCTTGCTGTTCGGTGTGAGCCAAGGCTCCGTGTTAAAGACCGTACTTTGACCTATAATGGTTTACTTTTATAAATTTGGACTTGGATGGAGAGTTGTCTGATTGGCACTCATACCACATCTTCTTATATCTATAATTACAAGAGAATAATAGGCAAAATGTATTGCTGTTCGAAGAATTGTATGAAGTTGCATTACCTGAACATGATCCAGTGCAAGGAGAAAACGTAATATATAAAAATAATTGCGATAAAATGTAGAACAGCACAAATCCAGAAATAGTACACAACAATAGAAGTTGCCAGCAATCTAAAACAAAGAAATACAATATAAGAATAGATATATTAAAACAATTTTGTTGTAGATAAGCACGAGGCAAAAATTTAAAAAGAAATAAAATATAATATTCTGCAAAGTTGATAACAATGAAGGAACTGGACAGATGCAACAAAGACACCCCCCCCCCCCCCCCGGAAGTATTTTAAATAAAAGTTTAAAGTAAGTACGGTATATAAGATCCTAGGAACTGATCGTTAGGATACTAGGAAGATATTGTTGATTCAACTGATTTATGATGAAAATCCCACATGGCATTGGGATCTTTGTTGGCAAGGTAAGTTTAAGAAAGGATCGTTTTTCCGTTACATATTTTCTAATGCCAGTCGGATTTAAAAGTCAATGACAGGCAATATACGAGATGATAGCTGTAAGTTTCTATTGATTTAAATGTGGATTTTTAACAGTGGTTTCCAAATATAGCTGTACAGAGAATGAAGTTTTGTAAGGGGTAGTGATTGAAGTTTCGTATGGATGTGATGAATATCCAACGGCTTCTGTATACATTGCAGAAGGTAAATTAATAGAGCCATCACTAAGAGCATGTGATGTATAATGGCGATGACCATGGCCGCGTCTACATCGAGAAGCAGCAAGACAAAATTTTGACCCAAACAGTTTTTATTTAACACAAATATTCCTATTCCAAAAATCTTGTCTTACTTATAATTTTTGCTGGAACGAATTTGTGTTTATCCTTAATCAGTTTCAAAATAATGGTCAAAATGAAAAATGCCTTAAAGTTGTAATATCGGACAACAACTCCTGTAAGGTGTTAAACAGCTATTACATTCATTTTTACTTTTCGTAGGTCTTGTATTGCTTTTTATTTTTTGCTGTTGAAATAAAAAAAATGTATTATAGTTGTGAATACTAAAACTGGTCAAAACAAATATCTCCATATGAGGGCAATATCTCATATAAGAAGTTATCTTTTGATTCTGTCACTCTTATTTATATAGACAAAACGTGCGTCTGATATGCCAAATTATAAGCCTGGTTTTTATAAAACTCATCAGCGGCGGCACTCGAATCACAACAGTTGAAAGTCCAAATCAAATACGACGTTGAACAGCATTATTCACCGAAAACTCCGAAAAGTTGTGCTGAGTAGCTCATTTCTGGTCATTTCTGCTATGAACTATTTAGTCATGTTGAGTTTATTTAGATCTAGTCTTGCCAATCATATTTGTTATTTACATTTTCTCTCTATTATAGTTTAAAGATAAAAACCAAAATCGCCACACATTGGTAATAATTGTCATTCAAGATCATTACTCCAAAAAAGAGTTGTCCGACAATTTTTGTGAAAATAGACTGTAGGTAGTTTGACATTTTAAACATGTGTGCCCCTGTCTGATTTACTTATCTATATTCTATTGCTCCATCCTATGGTATTTAAATATCTCAATTTTACCTTACGCACTTGCATGTTAACATTTTCCGGACTTCATGAACATAAGTACCCGATACAATAAACTGTTTAAACATAGACATTTCTCGCCTGTCGGCAGAAAATTCACATTGCTATTTAGTTCAAAGTTGCTGGACCATGACCTAGGGCAAGGCCTCGAAATAGTCGTCAAACTGATATGTACTGATAGTAATACAACTTTATAGAAAATATCATTGATACATCACAAGTAATTCCTATCAAACTGACTTAAGCAGAAAACTTAATATTTACACTGCTATTTAATTCAAATTCACTGGAATTTGACCTAGGGGGTGGGGCCTCGAAATAGTCATCAAAATGATATGTACTGATAGTAATCCAACTTTATGGAAAATATCATATATCTATCACAAGTATTTCCTATCAATCTAACTTGAGCAGAAAATTTAACATTGAAAATGGATAAATAATCCGAAGTCACTAGACCATTACCTAGGGGACAGGGTATTGGAATAGTCGTCAAACTGATATGCACCGATAGTAAAGCAACTTTATAGAAAACATCATTGATTTATCGCAAGTAGTTTCTATCAAACTGACTAAAGCAGAAAACTTAACAATTGTTGACGCATCCGCCAAGCAACACATTTATCTCGCTTTCCGCAACTTTCGTCGCAGGCGAGACAAAAACTGCTCAACCAGAGTTATGAGGAATACACCGAAATCGATACTTCAGAAGTTTTACGGTAACATGTACCATCGGCTCACTAGCGATATGTTTTTGTAGTCTTTTAGATTTTTAGACCTTTAGATATCAGTATAATTGTCTGATCTGTAAATAAACTGATTGAGTCCTATTCCATATTTTGACATTTTGATCGAGTATGGATTCGCATGACGGATCATTTATGTAAAGAAGCTTACCCTGTCGACGCACCTAGATTCTCTTTTTTTCAAATCATGCGCGATTTCGTCATATAATGTTTATTGCGTGTTCTAAATGAATCACTGAGATTTGAATACCGGTACGCTCTAATTTAAGATAAAAGACAATATTTGAATTTTACACCTATGCCTTATTTATAGCCTTGGTGGTCTTGGTTGGTACTCGAGATCATTGGACATATGTTTTAAATTAGATACCCCAAGGATGGTCGTGTCTAAAGTTTGTTTCGATTGGCACAGTAGTTTCAGAGAAGAAAAAATTTGTAAAAGGTAACGGACGCCGACGGAAGATGACTACAGACTATGGACGACAACGATAGTCGAAGACTACGGACACAGAGTTATTTGAGCTATAAATATTTTTTTACTGCAATTCGATGAATCTGCATTCAAGTCTTCTGTGAATGGAAATGAGTTCACAGAGTAAATTATGCTTACCGTTATTTTTTTTGATATATATAAATGATATTTAAAAATAAAGTGGGGATATCAGCATTCATAAGTTGAAGAGAAACCAACAACACCATGACAAAACACAAAAAGGAAGAAGACAAACAATAGTCTATAAAAACTACAAAGAAAACTATGACTGAGTGTCACAAACCCAACAAAAAACCGGGGTCGATCTGGTGTGCCTTGGAAAGGTATGCAGAACTTGCTCCACATGTGGCAGTCATCAAGTTACTGATGGTAAGCAAAAATGTGGTTTTAAATTAACAAATAAATAATTACATCGCCGTTTATCATGATTTACGCGCAAACCATGCGATCTTCAATAACGGTTTCATTTGGAGACTAGGATCACATCAAAGGATAAGGGTTTAGGAAATTTTACTTGTCTTATACCGATCTACGGAAGCAGTTCGAATATTCTTATACACGTTTGCTTTAACGACGAAATTAACACCAATTCTCAGCTTATTTAGCTACATGTAGACCTGTGCTTTTTCTCGTAGGGTCGTTTGGAAAATAAAGCGACAACGTATGGCAAGCCGTTTTACTATTTATTCAACTTCAAGATATCTCAAATACTATATAAGATATCTCAAATACTATATCAGATATCTCATATAATATATAAGATATCTTATATACTTTATAAGATATCTCATATAGTCTATAAGATATCTTATATAGTTTATAAGATATCTCATATAGTTTATAAGATATCTCATAAATTATAATTAAGAAAATAATATATGAGATATCTTATAAATTATATGAGATATCTTATAAACCATATAAGATATCTTATAAATTATATAAGATATCTTATAAACTATATAAGATATCTTATAAACTATTCAAGATATCGTATAAACTATATGAGATATCTTATAAAGTTTATTAGATATCTTAAAGTTAGAATAAATAGTAAAACGGCTTGCCACAATAACGTTATGTCATCATTGATAGACTGAACAGTAGTATTTTCAACTATACGAAAGCACCTGAATCATTTTCGGGTATGCATGCACGACTTTGATGAAATCCATGTGAATTTGAATTATTGTTAGAATTGGAATACTTTATACCAGTAAAAATCATTTAATTTTCTAAATCGAGTAGGATATTTACACCAAAACAAAACAAAAACATAGACCAAACTTAAAACTGTCTATTGTGAATTGCTGCTCAAATAGCATTTGTTTCTTTGTTTCCAACAACCCTCCCAAAATGTTATCTTATAATTATTGACTATGAAGTAAAACTGACATTCATTTGACAAAAGTTTTGTCCGTAAATAATTCGTTTACAATTTAACATGTGTAGTGCACATCTTTTTTAAAATGACTAACAAATATGCTTTAGTCATCTCTTGTGATGTTTGATCTTTTAATGTTGAATTGAACATTTATGGTTGGCGACATAATATGACGTTACGGAATGAATTGTTTTCAACTTTATTAATTTCTGAACGCAAATGTATGTTTTACCATTTTTATGTATACTACTGACGTTATACAACTTCTTAAATTCACGTTAACGTACCGTAGAAAACAGTTTGAACCATCCAAAACGCTCGTAGTTCTTAACTTTCTATACTTACATGATCTTGTTTTTCTTTCTGAAAAGATTGTTTTTATATAATAATATAATGTATGAAGATATTCTATGAAAATTTCAATATTTTGGTTTTAAAATTATACAAGCATACGAGCATTTTGACTGGCTAACCTCGTATTTTTCTTTATCTTACCTCCTATATATTTCTAGGAATTTGATTGGTTAAAAGCGTCCGCGTGGAGACCGTGTATATTCCATATTAGGTTAGTAGGGAGGCGGGGCTTATTTCAATACACGGTTAGTAGTGGAGTTACGACTTTGACACTATTTGATTATTTAAATGTATTGAAAGTTCTGTATAAAATTTTTATATCAAGGTTGTTGATATTAAATTGTTATTGTTGAAATTAGTTTTTTTGTGCAGACCAATTGAAGTAGGTTCTTAAAATTGAACACTTGAACACTTTAATATAAAAATAAGAAGATGTGGTATGATTACAAATGAGACAGCTCTAGTCTTAATTCAACAAATAAAGATAGTCGGTAAGATAAATTCGTTACATAGTGTGCTAGTGACCTTATACGATATGTACAGGGTCAGTAAACTCAATATGGGGTTCGAGCTTCGCTCTCACCCCATATGGAATTTACTGACCCTGTATATATCGTATTAGGTCACTAACACACTATGTAACTAATAACATATTCATTTTTATTAGATGTCGTTGGTTACAGTAATTTTTAATATAACATGAATATTAAAACATCTATATTTTTAAAATATATTATCAATTATCAAAAAGAGGGAAACATACAAAAGAGGAAATTTGGAACAATCATAGATCATAGGTATGTTCTATGTTCCTGTGAATTTCCTGATTTTTCCTTCACTTTACTTATACCAAAATTACATAAGTATCCTTACAAACAATGTTATATAGCTGGGTCAGACAAGTGATCTTGGAAACTAATTTCAAAACTATTAACATCAAATCTATCCGTGATCAAATCTAGGCTTTAGGGTAAATATGAAACTTGCTACTCTAGGGGCGATGTGAATCAGATGTGAATAATAAAAATCCAAAGACCTGTAAGAGTACACGCAATTGAAGTCTCTTTCCTCTTGTCATAGTATAAAAACATTTGACCTCTCCACCCATACTCTTTATTTCTTGCTCTTTTATTCATATGGGGCAGAAAAAATGTATTTAAAAATTCCTGGAAACAGTTTTGTAATTTGATAATAAAGTAAAAATTTATGACTGTATAAATCGAATTTTGTCTATAAATACAAGGAAAGGCGAGATACATGTCAATGCGAAACTAACCAAACGACACACCCAACTGACATCTAGAGGTCTACATGCAGTCTTCTCCCATAAACAAGTATCTATAAACTATTTCCAAGTCTAACCTGGGTATTAAAAAGTTGCGAAAAATATAAAAGAACTATCAAGAATCTGCCATCAACATCTTATTCTCTAAAAAAAAATAACATTAATATATTACGTAAGGAAACTCCTGATGGTGTGTCCTAACTTTGGACAATTTTCAGTATAGGGGCGGGATTTTCAGAGAGAAAGAACAAACAAGATCGTAGTAAGTAAATTCGAATTACTAATATATTAACTACACATTGGCTGGCTGTTAAAGCTTTCCTATTGTTTCATAATACGTTTCGAGATGGAGAGCTACAAATATGCAAACCTATTTTATAGTGTAAATATAGCAAGTTTATGTTGTTATTGAATTTAAAGAAGAACAACAATTCTTTTCACTGTTGCTTCTGATCTTAGTTTGTTAATTAAATTGAAAGAAAGTTTAAGTATCACTTTCATTAGTATAACTTGATCACAGTTTTCTAGTATATAGCACTTAATAATAGCTTTAATCATTTTTGTCTTTCTTTCATATAGCATTACCTTGAGAATTGGGCAACGTTACTTCAACAGTTACGGATTCAACATTAACTCCATGCCTACATGTCCAGTTCCCATTCATACGCTTATCAAGGGGACCAGCGACGTAAAAAATTGTCTCATTCGTTTTTATATTTTGATGTATTCTTACATTCTTTAAGCGAGGATAACAATGGGTGTATGGTATTGGATGCGCACAAAATCCTTGTTCTTTATCCAATGGATCGTTCAAAGAAACAACCATTGAAAGAGTTGTTGTTTTACAAGTCAAAACAAGACTACTATTTTTAACTTTCCATGTCAAACACATACACAAGCGGTCCTGGCATGACAATATACCTACAAAAAGTAAATGAAACCACGTCATTATTTTTAAAAAGATTGACAAAAGATGATAGTTCATTAGAATTGTGTCTTTTTTCTAAAAAGATATGTTCTATTGTTTACTATTGAACATGCATGTTAAAATAATACCAATTTACAAACAAAGTGCATAAAATGATCATATCTAGTGTTTTCAAGATTTGTTCTGAAACTAATGTTTGTTTACATGATGAATTCAACCAACCATTAATTTAATGCTGTAAGTAATTATTCTTTCTTCTTATTGCCAAATAAAAAGAACATAAACAACACAGAAAGTTGCACACATGTTTTAGGTTTAACTTATAAATTATCTTTTGCTTGAATAGATATAAGAAGATGTGGTATGAGTGCCAATGAGACAACTCTCCATCCAAGTCAAAATTTAAAAAAAAGTAAACCATTATAGGTCAAAGTAGGGTCTTCAACACGGAGCCTTGGCTCACACCGAACAGTAAGCTATAAAGGGCCCCAAAAATTACTAGTGTAAAACCATTCAAACGGGAAAACCAACGGTCTTATCTATATAAAAAACGAGAAACGAGAAATACTTATGAACCACATCAACAAACGACAACTACTGAACATCAGATTCCTGACTTAGGACAGGTGCAAACAAATGCAGCGGGTTTAAACGTTTTAATGGTACCAAACCTTCACCCTTTTTCTGAAACAATAGTGTAACATCACAACATACATTTATATGGCAAAAATACCGGGAACCAAAATCAAGGAAACTGTTTTTAGTATGTGCCTTGGCCATTATGATGTATAACAAAAACTGTAAAAGCAAATACAAATTAATCAATAAAATATGAAAAGGAAAGGAAAATAAGAGCTTTTAAACCAAAATTACAATAATGGCTAACATAAATAACTTTATGAATAACTTGAACAAAATACTGAAATCTTTACATCGGACTTTGCCGTTAACAAATGGTGACAATTTCTTTAAATCATCTTCAAAAGTTTGATTGATTGATTGATGTTTAACGCCACTTTCAATACTATAGAAACAGTAAAGCCAAGAGGGTTTCTCATTCGTAGTATAAGGAAATGAATCGATAATGGAAGAATAAAAATTATTTCTGTAAATGTGGATAATTTTTGTATATCGAAATTAGATAAAAGAACTGTAATAAAACGGCTCTTTATAACATTTAAAAGTACAATATAATTAATACTATCCTGAATATTTAGTAATCAATGTAAGAAGGTAAGAATGATACTTAAAGAGAATTCAAGCATTTTGTTACACAACAAGGGATACAATAAAGAAATTATACGAGAGAAAAATATAAAAAAAATGTTTATTTAAAGGTGTCACTGATAAAAGGCATTGAGGTAATAAACTGTTAACACAGAGATATGTCTCGCCTATTCATTATTTTGATAATGCAAATGTTGAAATTAAAATAGCAATACTTTAACATGTAAGTTATGCAAATATTCAAAGTCAATGAACCATGACTGAAGGTACAGGGCTAAACAATCTCCATGGAAATGAGATGTGCCAATGCTAATACAACTGCAAACCAAATACCATTGACTTTTCATAATTTGTTCCCTTTAAACAAACCTAAACACAAACATTAACTTGTAAAATATGTAAAAGTTTCAAAGTCAATGAACCATAATTAGGGGAAGGGGATATATAATCTCCATGGAAATGAAACTTGCAAATGCCAATACATTTGCATACCGAATATCATTGACTTAACATTAGTGATTCATCTTAAACTGACCTTATCACAAACTAATACATGTAAACTAAGCAAAAGTTTCAAAGTCAATAGACCATGACTGAGGGGTAAGGACCAAATATTCTCCATGGAAATGAGATGTGCTAATGCTTATACAACTGCATACCAATTATCATTGACCTACCACTAACAGTTCCCCTTAAACTGACCTACTCACAAACTAATACATGACAAGAGTGCACACGCTGAAATGTCTCGCCTTCTTTAGTAATCATTGATATTATGTTGATAGTCCTAAATATAAAGCTTTATTACAACTGCATGTCACATGAGGCATCCTTATACAAAGTATGAAGCATCCAGATCTTCCACCTTCTAAAATATAAAGCTTTTAAGAAGTTAGCTAACGCCGCCGCCGTCGCCGCCGCCGCCGGATCACTATCCCTATGTCGAGCTTTCTGTGACAAAAGTCACAGGCTTGACAAAACTAAGCAAAATATTCAAAGTCAATAGACCATGAATGAGGGGGCGGGGCCAAATAATCTCCATGGAAATGAGATATGCCAATGCTTATACAACTGCATACCAAATATCATTGACCTACCACTAGTGGTTCCCCATAAACTGACCTAATCACAAACTAATACATGTAAACTAAGCAAAGTTTCAAAGTCAATAGACCTTGACTGAGGGGGCAGGGCCAAATAATCTCCATGGTAATGAGATGTGCCAATGCTAATACAACTGCATACCAAATATCATTGACCTACCACTAGTGGTTCACCATGAGCTAGACCTAATAACAAACTAATACATTGTTGACGCCGCCGCCGACGCCGGAAACAGCATACCTATGTCTCGCTTTTTGACTCCGTCAAGGCGAGACAAAAATGGTAATTATCCACTATTTCTATTTATGATGTGGTGTAACAATGTGTACTTATTGTACACCAATAGCATGACTTGTTTTTTAAACTCGTATAGAGCAGAATTCATAAAAAAAACCTTTTCAAAGACAAAAATACATCTTGCACATTTTTTATTTCACGCTCAGATATACTGATGATGTCTTGTCACTTAATTACCGCCTCATCTCGTTGAATGATTGCATCTCTTATATTTCAGTGAACTAGAGATTGGGGATATATCTACTACCGAAACCAGAAGGTCGTCTTCATATCTTGATCTTTTCCTTGAAGTTGACACGGATGGACGAATTAAAACTAGATCTATGACAAACTTGATTCCTACTTTCCTATTAACAATATCCCATTTGTCAGACGTAACCAACCCTCCGTCCCCATTGCTAGACGTTGACATATCTCTATTCGCTCGTGTGTGTTCACATTATACGGTCTTTATTTGTAGGGTGTTCCCACGACACAAAAAAATCTGCTCCAAAAGTTAGACGAAAGATACCAAAGGGGCATTCAAACTTATCAGTCGAAAATAACCTGACATTATCATGCATGGTAAAAAAACGAGAAAAGACAAAAAGACAAACTACAGAACACAAAACCCAACATAGAAAACTAAAGACTGAATAACACGAACTCATAAAAAATGATGAAAAGAAAGACTGCAGTCGATAGTACTAATGTTTTACTATCCATCAAGAATTGTTTAACCGATACGATTTGTTTCCACTCACTTGAGACACGTTTTCAACTTCGACTTACATACAAGAATAATTTTCCTAGTTTGTCCTATTTCCGATTGTGACCTTTTGACTTCATGTGGTGGATGCGCCTTGCGGGTGATGCATGTAAGCATGAGACGATTACCCTGTCAATGTATCCGATCTCGATTCTTTGGGAGTTTATGCGATTTCCTCGGTATTTGTTAGTTTCATAGATTTGTATCTAACATTGGGAAACTACTGTTGCATTTAATTTACAGTGCTTCTAAAAATGGTACTGAAAAACAATTTTACATAAAATGTTGTTTTAAGCATGCATTTTCAAGAGTTGATTCATGCTCGATGGACGATTTCGACAAGCCGAACTCAATTCATTACGGTCCGGTTTTGATCACATGTAAACACCATGCTATGTGCTGCATGTAAACCAGGACAGTCTCACCGTTTAAATCTCCTTATATCATAAGATTTTTATGGTTTATGGATCAAGTTGTAGTATCAAAGGGTCACTTCTGAGTATGTCTTTTTTTGTTTGTCGTTTGCATGTGTCGTTGCTTTTGCTTGTCTAATTCATGAATTTCAATTTCGTTCCTTTTTTACAGAGGATGACCTTGAGGTCACTCCGATGTATTGCTATCGCCTAAATTTCCATTATGCAAATTAGTTTTGGGATTTCAACCGATCTATAAAAATTATAGATCCGCGGTCATTACAAGGGAAAAAAGTGCATTTTTATACCTGCGATTCCGTTCTCCGTTCGTACGATGTTTCATAAAAAAATGGAATCATTTCAGTTGTTGATTTAGTACTGAAAATTTGACTGAATTATCTCCTTATTAAATACGGTTTTATATGTTTAATAGGTGTTTAAGAAAGAGGTCAGGTGCTCATGTTCATTCATAAAATTATCGTTCATTCATGAATTTATCGTAAAATCAAAATCACTACACAGGTCACACAGGTTGTATACGTAGTGTCAAAAGATTACCTGTATAGTATCTAAAAATAGACAAACTTAACTGACTCCCCTTACTGTAGTGTGTGATAACATTTTGTGAGGGAATTCGATGTTTGCTATACCACTGTTCATTTCAACGCACCTTATGACGATACCACTTTATCAATATGAATGAAATTTTTTGCAGTGTTTTAAGAAATAATTTTACTTTAAAATCGCGTATCATTTGTGAACTATTAAATGTTTTACAAGGACGAATTTTCTGTATAAAGTCAATAATTGTGTGAACTTTTGAAGCCCAAACTTTTTATAGCCTTAAATACGCTAATGAAAGATCCGAAAACTATACCCATACAGAACGACATGTTTTTGAAATTGTAGCAAAACTTTTGGTTGACAAATTTTAATTCGTTATTGCATAAATATTAACTTGAAATATCTGTCATTTTCTCCCTACCCAGTTTACCTCTATTACTCATTATGATGTGGACTTGACATTGTTATTGAATCTTATGCAATTTGATTGGATTAAGTTATTATTAGATTACCTTTAAACTGTTCATGCTTTTTCGTACGAGTATATTGATTAAATCAGAGCGTGCATGAATGTGTACAGAAAATTAAATGACCTGCAAACTGGACACTGGACCAGTCCATATTACGTTTTATCAATGAATAGATTTTTTTTTTATTTCCCAAATTACAGGGCCCATAAAGGTCATAAAATCAGATACAATTGATTTACATAATTGGTAACAACAACAATAATAGCGGCATATAAATAGATATTTAGTATATAAGCATTGGTCAGAATCAGATGAACGAAACTTAAGGTATGAAAGGTAACAATTGCCACTTTTTATCCTTTCACATAATTTTCCACATACACATTAGATAAATTATTTTTGATAGCCTATTGCGGAGAAAATAGAGAAAGTTTACTGTATTAACGTTCTATTCCATTAAATACGCCATTTTTCGAAGATAAATGCAGAAAAACATTTATGAACGGCTACGCCAGGTAAAATTGTTGTTTATCCTAAAAAAAAATACAATTTTCAGTTTCATTAGAATATTATAATAATAATAAATCCCAAATTTATGTAGTCATTAGATAAAGTCCTTATATGTCCGATCTGCCTATTTTTGGACATCAAAAGACAATACGATCGTTTTAAGGTCAATTTCGTCTACCTCACGCAATCTTGTTAGGCACTATAATGAAATGGACCTGAAATTTATTTCACATGTTTCCTGAAAATTGATAAATATCAAAGCAACATAGAGCTGTTTGTTCTAGTTCGTATAATGACAATTTAATGTCATGTTTGTTTGTGATGACCCCCCTTTTCGGGATTGCATCAGAATTATAGTTATCTCGTATCGCATGAGGATGACACATGTCAACTGAGCAATTATGTTTGGGACTTAGTTTTAAGGAATGATGTCAAAGTAACATTATGAAAATATTTTTAGTAAGCTGAAATATATATTTATTTTTTACATGTTTATGTCTTGTAAGATATTTTATTTCTGTCCCGTTTTTCAACATTTGCGTCTGGAAAGTTGAAATGTTTTAACTGAATGGTTAATTTAAATTAATTATGAAAATGGTTAAAATTAAATCAATAAAGGAAATTATTGCCCAGTTACAAACACTACCAGGGGATAATCCATAATGATTTTTTTTCAGTTATATGTTTCAGCACATGAATAATTAACCCCAACTTTAGCCTGGTAAACTTGTTGTCTCCTTGTAAAATATAAAACATATTTAAAATGATTTCCTGCTAAAGTCTTATATTGATATATAGTTAAAACCGTCTTGCTTCTCACTAGTCAACACTCCTGTCCTGTCAGGTTTAATTCTTATATATATGGATGAAAAATAAAAGTCCACAAAACATTAACATGACAGCAATTGCTTTTACAGCCTTTAAGACTTTGATTTGTTTTTTACAGAAGAGTGTCCACCATGCACTTGCATTACACTATAATAATAGTAGAATAGTATGATATACATATAGATGAAAATTATATATACATGCAACCGTAATATTAATATAATATATAACAACAAACCAGTGTATTCTCTGGAACTATTATTATATTAGTATAATAGTCTAAGGTATACTGATTTGTATCACTACAATATAATAGTTATTACGGTGAGGTTGAATTTCCTGTCATTTATTCATCATCCAAGCACGAACTTGTATAAGAAAAAAAAATCTCTGTAAATTAACCTCAGTTTCAGGTATAGAGATGTGATCTGTTTCTGTGACATGTGCTTTTGACCATCCACAAGAACCTGCGGTCATCCGATGTTCAGTACTTCAGTACTTTGATTTGTATCTGCTGTCCATTGCTTGATTTAAAAAGATTAGTTATATGGATGGTTTTGGAAACAGCATTAGAATGATAAAGATTGAATGCTCTCGACAAAACTAGAGAAAACGAAGGTGCCTCGAAATTGTTAAATATCTGTTAACAAAAATCTTATGAAGGACGATATCTTAACTGCTGACGAATTTGGGAAGAGATATAGTTATACACACCTGTGATTGTTATAGAAGTTAATAGTATAATAGCTCCCTTCATTTGTACTTGTACTGATCATGCCATGTTTGTTTTTAACTTTTTAATTTGCTCTTCATTCTGAAGTAAAATAAATTTGCGTATTAAAATCGTTTCTATTTTTGTCATATACACTGTAGTAGATCACTCAATATTCAGTTAAATGGTTACATGAAAAATAAGTATTCACACCAAGCAAAACAACATAATCTACAGAGTATTATCATTTAGTTTATAAGAGCCTTACCCGGATTGTTAGCTTCCATTTTTCCAATTTAATATTTAGGTTTTTCAAATTAGCTGCATATTATTAATATAAAATAAAATTTGTTTTAAAACCATATGCGGGAAAATATGAAGGGGGTCTTAATTTAAAGCACAACCTCCTATTTGTAAATTGTACCCACTTTTCATTATCTACTTTTAGTAATTTTAGACATATGCCTATTGGTAAAGACATACATTTAAAACTAGACACAGTTAGAATCATTTTTATTTAAGGTAGATTCACTGTATACCGCCATCTTAGATTGCCGTGAGTAAAGTAGCAGTACACAATCAGTCTAGTTCTCTGCTTAAATCTGCAAATTTTGAGAAAGATTGGCAATAATTGTGCAAGACTGTTTTTTTAACAAGAAAAATAAATGATTTATTGCGTAATTAATTCTGTTTAAATAAAAAAAAAAATATCAAAGATTTGTGCTTGTTCGAATCTATTTTGCAACTTAGCCATTTAAGGGTAGATAACTCACAAAATAGTGTTTTTTTTCTCATTAATAATCTATGCAAAATAGGACAATTTAGCACGACTTGTTGCTTGAAAAATAGCACGCGACCCGTACTTTTTATTATATTTTTGAAAAAAAGCATGTTCAAATCTTCATTTTGCAAAGTATAAGAAAATTCTGAGGAAATGTATACCGAGGATCCACATTAAAAGAGGCGGAAGATACCGTAAGCACATTAAAAACTCATTGGACAAAGAAAAACTAACGACATAATGGCAAAAAACTAAACGGTCAACCAAGTCGTTATTGCGTCTGCAAAATGTTAACAGTGATAACGTCAATTTAACCACTTAGAGCCCTGGGTTCAATAGCTTCTTTGCTTATAAGCAGCTACCCTCAATTTAATCATGATAGGAAACGCAAGCTCTGGAATGTCGAATAAAGTCGGAAAAATGTACTCCATATGTAGGCGTTACTTGAATGTTGCTACATAAAAACGGAAAGTTCACACTTGGTTAGCCGAAATCAGGTTTTTTATCGTAAAGTTTTGTTCTCAACCGACCCGTTGTCCATCTCTAGAAGTATTTTTTTTTACGCAAGTAACATATTTCTTTTTAAGTAAAAACTGACCCAAAAATACCATACGGTGACCTATAGTTGTTAATTTCTATGCCATTTGGTCTCTGGTGGGGAGTCTTCTCATTGGCAATCATACCACATCTTCTTGTTTATATACATATATATAAAATATAAACAAGTCTAAATTGAAAGCAACGTTCAAACCTATGGTTGCGTTGGATAAAAACCGCAATTTTTATACGTGTGCATACAAAACTAATTTCTTAGTAGAGGGGTCTAAATACAACACAAACAACATTTTCCAAAAGACCTAAAAAGTGAAAAAGTATATTTTAGCAAAACACATTTGACTAGCAGGTCGAACAACTGATGTTCTTAAACCCTGCTGACTGCAATGGCGATTGCCAAATAAACGGATCACCAAATGTAACAAAATGGATCTTAATCATTAATTTAATACCAAACAGAAAACAATAAACTTGCTGAAAAGATGGTATACCGCAAACATGAGGTGCAAAAATTTGTACAGCATATCCGGAGTTCTACAATTAATGTCTATTCAGTGATGGTAGGAATCGAAACGGTATTTGGAAGGCCATATAATTTACCTCAATTTAGGATTAACTCTTGAATTTTGAAGAGTCGAAATAGGATGAACGGATTATATAAACCCGAAGGCAAATATAATACAAGCCCAAATGAAAATCTATAAACAAGTTTTAATTGAAAACAACGTTCAAACCTATGATTGCGTTGGATAAAAACCGCAATTTTTATATGTGTGCTTGCAAAACAAATTCTAGGTAGATGGGTCTAAATACAGCACAAACAACATTTTCCAAAAGACCAAAAAAGTGAAAAAGTATATTTTAACAAAACGCATTTGACTAGCAGGTCGAAAGAAACGGATGTTCTTAAACCCTGCTGACTGCCATTGGCGATTGCCAATTAAACGGATCACCAGATGTAACAAAATGGATCTTAATTATTTATTCAATACCAAACAGAAAACAATAAACTTGCGGAAAAGATGGTATACCGCAAACATGAGGTGCAAAATTTTTTACACCATATCCGGATTTCTACAATTAATGTGTCTTCAGTGATGTTAGGAATCGAAACAATATTTGGAAGGCCATATAATTTACCTCAATTTAGGATTGACTCTTGAATATTGAAGAGTCGAAATAGGATGAACGAATTATATAAATAAAGGCAACAGTAGTATACCGCTGTTCGAAACTCATAAATCGATAGAGATAAAAACAAATCCGGGTTACAAACTAAAACTGAGGGAAACGCATCAAATATAAGAGGAGAACAACGACACAACAAAAACACAACATTGAAATGTAACACACACAGAAACGAACTAAAATATAACAATGGCCATTTTCCTGACTTGGTACAGGACATTTTAAGAAAAAAATGGTGGGTTGAACCTGGTTTTGTGGCATGCCAAACCTCCCGCTTTTATGGCAACGTCAAACACAACACCAAAACGACAACATCAAATGACAGTACCACAATACAAATAAATGGGAGAACATATAGGACAAAGAAACACACGAATAATAGCTAACAAAAGGTACTAGGCTTAAAATTCAATACGCCAGACGTGCGTCTCGTCCACACAAGACCAACCAGTGACGCTCAGATGAAAAAAGTTTGAAAGCCAAAACAAGTACAAAGCTGAAGAGCACCGAGGACCAAAACTTCCAAAAAGTTGCGCCTAACACGGCCAGGGTTTTCTGCCTGGGACAACACCATCCTTATTATTTAGAATAATTTATAATTTTGCAAACAGTAAATTTTATAAAATGACTATATAATAGATATACATGATAAAACCGAAGTGGGGACTAAATACAGAATAAAAACGGATACATTACATAAAACAACTTAATCCAACACATAAAAATACACAGCCGAGTTAGCCAAAGCCTCAACGCACAAAGTGACGTCACATTTGAAATTCTAAACCCGAAGGCAAATATAATACAAGCCCAAACGAAAAAATATAAACAAGTCTAAATTGAAAACAACGTTCAAACCTATGATTGCGTTGGATAAAAAACCGCAATTTTGATACGTGTGCATGCAAAACAAATTTCTTGGTAGAGGGGTCTAAATACAGCACAAACAACATTTTCCAAAAGACCAAAAAAGTGAAAAAGTATATTTTAACAAAACCCATTTGACTAGCAGGTCGAACAACGGATGTTCGTAAACCCTGCTGACTGCCATGGCGATTGCCAAATAAACGGATCACCAGGTGTAACAAAATGGATCTTAATTATTAATTTGATACCAAACAGAAAACAATAAACTTGCGGAAAAGATGGTATACCGCAAACATGAGGTGCAACAATTTGTACACATATCCGGATTTCTACAATTAATGTGTCTTCAGTGATGGTAGGAATCGAAACGGTATTTGGAAGGCCATATAATTTACCTCAATTTAAGATTGACTCTTGAATTTTGAAAAGTCGAAATAGGATGAACGGATTATATAAACCCGAAGGCAAATATAATACAAGCCCAAACGTAAAATATAAACAATATTAAATTGAAAACAACGTTCAAACCTATAATTGCGTTGGATAAAAACCGCAATTTTTATACGTGTGCATGCAAAACAAATTTCTTGGTAGAGGGGTCTAAGTACAGCACAAACAACATTTTCCAGAAGACCAAAAAAGCGAAAAAGTATATTTTAGCAAAACACATTTGACTAGCAGGTCGATTAACGGATGTTCTTAAACCCTGCTGACTGCCATGGCGATTGCCAAATAAACGGATCACCAAATGTAACAAAATGGATCTTAATTATTAATTTAATACCAAACAGAAAACAATAAAAACTTGCGGAAAAGATGGTATACCGCAAACATGAGGTGCAAAAATTTGTACACCATATCCGGATTTCTACAATTAATGTCTCTTCAGTGATGTTAGGAATCGAAACGGTATTTGGAAGGCCATATAATTTACCTCAATTTAGGATTGACTCTTGAATTTTGAAGAGTCGAAATAGGATGAACGGATTATATAAACCCGAAGGCAAATATAATACAAGCCCAAACGAAAAAATGTAAACAAGTCTAAATTGAAAACAACGTTCAAACCTATGATTGCGTTGGATAAAAACCGCAATATTTATATGTGTGCTTGCAAAACAAATTTCTTGCTAGAGGGGTCTAAATACAGCACAAACAACATTTTCCAAAAGACCAAAAAAGTGAAAAAGTATATTTTGTACACCATATCTGTATTTCGACAATTAATATATTAATCAAAGATTTATGAATGTCTCTGATATACCATTCACAAATTTTTAAGATTCGAATTGACAAGGAGATTACGATTCTGAATTGTCTCTTGTTGTTTTGTTGATGACAATTTTCTGAACTCATGTATTGTTTTTTTATTTTATTTTATTATGTTTCGAAATGGACGATTACTGTAAATGTTATGCATCTCATGTACACAAGTTCAGGTAATGATTTGGCCTTCCAACTGCCTATATTCGAGCGTCACTCATGATGAGTCTTTTGAAGACAAAACGCTCGTCCAACGTACCAACTTATCAGTCGGTATCTTTGATCAGTTTTTACCGGTCATGCGTATCCACACTCACTCAAAATGTCAACATAATTAATAGGATGCAATCGGTAAACCGCGAAATCACGTCTCTCGTGAGTTGTTATAAAAGTAAGATGTGGTATAATTGCTGATTTGTGTTGATTATAAAGGCGAGTAATGACTATA